GCTTTGACGGAATCAGCAGCTTGATTGTGTTACCCGATTGACAAAATGACACGCTTCATCCGATGTGTGATTTCTGGCACGACATTTGTTCTTCCGGTTCAGTTCGCACTTCCACATTGTGTTCTCTTCCATTTTTGTGTGAGAAACTCATTGCAGTAACTCTGGCTTCTCCTTCATAGTTGGAATCAGCTGCAGAGACATTTCTTGATGATTATCCATCTGGATTGCTCTAGTTATTATATCAATTGTGTTTATTGTGTTCTCGACCAATTGTCGTGCGTAATGCGCGAGGCACGTCTAGCAACTGCATAGATGGTCCGCATGAAAATGCTCGCCAAGCGAATTTATGTAAACCAAGGGGTCAGGTGCCGCCAAACTGAAACTATAGCTTCGCAGCGTTTGCTCCTTCTTGACAAGCGCACCTTCGTATTGTTCGCCTCATTTGTATCTTTATCCTTTTCAACTTACCCCAACTTTCCCTCATTTCTTGTATTGTTCTTTTCTTTCATCACTTTACGCTTCTTCTTCGCATTTATCATTTCTATCCGTTTTCTTCTTCCGTTTCGTGGAATCACGAAACCGATGTTCTTCCGCCTTTGCTATTCAACAATATTGTCGGGATAATAAAAGCAGTGCTGTCACTAACAAAAACTAGGATCTTTTCTAGAGGGAAGCCGAAGGTCAAAATATAATGCTCGATATGTTACTAATATGGAAAATGAAGATGAAATTTCCTTGGTGAGTGCTACGGGTTGCGGACTCTGCAATTTGACCGTTACCGCCTACAGCACAGCTGAAAACCGGCCCGTGCCTTAGCGCTAGGAAATCCATATTTGGGAGGAAAGCGTCAGATGTAACTTCTCTGCTAATGGAACTGAAAGGAAAATACTTCGTGGAAGTCGATCAGTTTAAGTTCCTCGGATGAATCATCTCCAGAGATGGCTCTATTCTGTCAGGATTGAATATGAGAATCGCCAGGGACATTATGCATCCAGGGCTTTTGGTTACTTGTCACAACTGGTGACCTCTTTCACAGAAATTCGCGTGTACCTTGCCTCTCTCAGACAAGTGCTGTTTTTTTCGCAATGGAGACAGTTGTTCTAATCAACGATCAAGTTCTGGGGGTGGTTAGCGTTGGATTTTATGCAAAATGATGGTTGAATGGCAGGATCACCAATGGATCACTCGAAGGCACAGGGGATTTCATTGGATGTGAAGAGCAATGAAACAACTTTCGCTCTGTTATACAAACCA